ATCATGGCAAGCAACCAGTGGATTCCTGGGCAAATTTCCAATATTACAATTATAATATTTTGTTTTGCCTGTAAACATCCTTGACTGTGCTAATACTAGCTTTTTGTTCGATCTCATGCCCATTGTACAAGCACGCTCCACCCAAATCACTTATCTTTTTTCAGAAAAAGACAATAATGTATGTGGTGATCTTGCCACTTCTCAAATATTTGTGAAAGGGAACATTGCTATATTGCCACAAGACACACTACAGGCCCAACAGTACCTGCCTCCCTCTCCAGAAGACATAGAGCAATCTGTGACGGTTTTATCTGTGGGCACTGATATGGCTGTGAATTGTGAAACAATTTGTAAATTGCATCCTGTTCTAGTCAGCAAGCAGAAGGTAAAGATTGTATTGGAATTCCTCCTGGCACACAACCCTTGGTACCGCAGTAGTGGTGTGTGAATGAGTGACGCCAACTAAGATGCTTTGTACGCAGGGAATGACAATAATCAACTGCCCAGCGCAGTAACATTGAATTTTGTGCCTCCTCAGAATGATGGTAATTCTGCAATGTCAGGTTACAGTAAGCGCAAAGAGCATGTGGCTTCCTCATTGGATATTGATCCTCAATTCATTCTAGACTTTATTGAGATCGCGTGATTAGTTGGCTAGAGTCCATCATAAAATGTGAGCTGCCCGGTATGACTGATGTGCTGACCAAGAACCCTAGGGAGTGTCTTATTAGACCTCCTTGCCCATCAGATTTACAAGACCCTTGCATCTGCAGTGCAACTTTTAACCTTGAAGATGACAAAGTTTTTGAGAAGGAATTCCAACTGTTTGTGAAAGAGCTCACCATCACCTACAATTGGCATGAGCATACTGATACATGCTGGAAGCACCTGAAGGCAGGGGAACCGTGTGACAACTCACATTGTAGAATGCATATTGATGGTTTTACTTGTTTGCTCTCAGAAATAAACCCATCCACTCAATCAAATTTGCTCCGCCATCTTCACCCTTGCATTAACAATTTTAATGATGTAGTCATATTTATGGTGCGTTGTAATATGGACATAAAATACATAGGATCTGGTCAAGCCACTGTCAGAACTGTGGCCTCTTTGGAGTAACGGAGCTGTGGAGTACAGGGGGCAGAGTAACGGAGTTCAGGGGGCAAGATGGGGAATTGGCTTAGCTCATGCGCTAGGCCCTTCCATGTACCTTGGTCCCTAGCTCATTGGAACTGGGGGGAGGAGAAGTAGAGGATGAAAAGGAGTAGAGTAAAGATCCTTTGGAGAAGGATCACAAAAGGACTTAGAAAAGGACTGGTAAAAAAGCGAGGGAATCTAGTTGATATCCAAACTACAAGAACAGAATACAGGAGTTACAGCTTATATACTGTCCAGACATTGCCTATGTTGTTGGAATGCTAAGCAGAAACAGCTCGGCTCCAAGGAGCCATCACTGGGAAGCTGCCAAATATGTTCTCTGATATCTGAAAGTAACCAGGGATATGGAACTATATTATGGTGGCACAGATGTCTCTATGGACTATCACAACACAATGGGATCTGCACCCGTGTACAGTGATTCTGGACCTTCTGGGCATGCAACCAATCAGTATGCTTTCCAAGTACGCCTTGGTAGCTTAGTTGGTAAAGCACCAGACCATGAAAGCTGGAGTCCCAGGTTCAAGCCCTGGCCAATGCATGTTTTCTCATACTATAAACACAGTCCGTTTTTCAGTGTCTAGGAGTTTATAGGCTTGCTTTCCATGTGTGTAGCCAATCATTATGGCTTTGTGCCCCTTGGAGTAAAACTTCCCTTGCCTTTTGTCTTTCGGAATCAAGGCATATGCTTGGCATCCGATAGGGCAAAATAAAGTTGGATTGACTCTCCTTTTAAACAGTATTTCATATGGGGTTTTTCCATGGAGTCCTGATGCTGGGCTGCGTGCTGTAATATATGTAGCTGTTTGCATGGTATCTACCCAAAATGACTTTGGGAGCTTGGAATCAAGGAGCATAGTGGTTGCTAATGTAGCCAATGTCTGATTTATGTGTTCTACAATGCCATTTTTGTTCCGGAGTATCTGCAGCTGTAGTTTCTTGGATGACACCATCTCCTCGGAGTTGATTTTTGAATACATTGTCAGTATATTCTCCTCCCCCATCACTCCGGAGGAATTCTGTGTATAGTGGAGTGAAGTTTTCTTCTCCCAAATGAGTCCGGAAGAATGTTTGGACATCTTCTTTCCATTGCTTGTATCGTTCCAGTGCTTCACTTTTATGTTTTAGGAAATATATCCATGGAAATTTGGAGAAATCATCTACAATGATAATCCAGTACCAAAAACCCTCCCTGGAAGTTGGTTTAATTGGTCCTCCAACATCTGTGTGCACAATTTGTATGGGGCGCTTGGCTCGGTTTCCTCCAGTGGACTTGAAAGGTAATTTCTTCATGTTTCCTAAAGTGCAAGGTTCACAAAACTCCAGGGTTCCGGTAAGGGTGTCTATGTCCTGGAGCTGTCCTTTTGTAACCATTTGTTGCAAGTGGTCCATTCCAATGTGTCCCATTCTCCTGTGCAATAAATTTACATCTACTGCTGCAAAAGCTGACTCCAGGTTGATTTCAGGTTTTGCTTGATAAAGTTCTTGCTTGTGTAAGGCAGTGAGGATAAGTTCCTCCTTTTTCCGAACTTCACAAGCATTTGACCCTGCTGGAAAAAGTGTTGATAACCCCGTTTTGGACAATTTGTGGACAGAGACGAGTGCTAACGTGAAGTTTGGCACAAGTAAGACATTTGACAGTGCAATACTGTAGTCCTTATTGCCAACAGTTGCTTGTAGGATTACAGTTCCAATGCCAATGGCATTTACAGAGGATTCATCCCCAAAACTGATCGTCCTTGGAGGATGCAGAACATGGTATGTTCCTGGCTCAAACCAGGAGCGGTGAGGGACCATGTGGGATGTTGCTCCGGAGTCAATAATAATTGTTGTTTTGGTCTTATCGGGTTCCAACACAAGGTAAGCTTGAATGCGTTTAGCAAGGGGCTTGGAAATATGTACATGTTCCAATGCAATATGACTCTGTTCCTCCTCGGAGTCAGATCCAGATGATTGCTCCGCTGTATTTGCCTTTTCCTTCTCTTTTCCTTTATCCTTGTGTCTTTCCTTTCCCTTCTTCCTTTGACCTTTTTCAGCTGACTGAAGTGTCCAACACTCCGAGGTGTTGTTTGATTTGGCTTTGTGGAAGTTACACCATTTCTCCTCGGATTTGAGTGCTGATTTGGAACCTCCAGGGGCCTTCCCTGACTGTCATGCAACTTCTGCAGTGATCCGGATCTCAACTGCATCAAAGGTAAGTTTATTTTCTTCAATCGTGTTGATTACTGATGACTGAAATATTTGCCATTCAGGAGTGCATGGGAGAGATTGGAGAAGAGCAAAAGCCATGAGTTTGGTATCAACTCCTAGTTTCATTCCGGAGAGGTGTGAATCAATTGTCCGGATTTTTGCAATGTGGTCCTGGATAGGTGATGTCCCATCCCAGGACAATTTGGTGAGTTGCTGGAATGAATAGAAGGCCGAGGCAATGTTGGACGTTTGATGCAGTGAGACAAGTTTATCAAATAACTCCTTGGAGCTGGTGAGGTCTCCAGTCCTCATTGGGAGGGCATCAGAGATGTGGTCCTGGATGATTCCTTGTGCCTTCTCATCCTTAAGTATCCAGGTGATTTCAGGATCCTCCGAGGAGGTAGGTTTTCCTGGTGAGGGCTTAAGCTCCTCTCCAGTAACAACCCGGAGAACTTTTTCCCAACGTAGCTTTGAGATGATCCGGAGTTTCCATATCTGAAAATTGTTGGGTCCAGTGAGAACTGGGCATGCGGATGTATCGCGTGCTGTGGTTATGGTTCCGAGGTTGCCGTTTCAAATAAGAATTATTTCCCGCGTAGCTTTTGTGCACCAGGGCTCATAACCTCATAAAACTAAGTGAAACTCAGCTGCTGCCCGAGAGGCTATAGAAACAACTTTATTATTTACCTAAGTGAAACTACAATAGATGTTAGTTTAAGGTGATCTCTAATAAATGTAATGTAACATACCTCAGCCGCTGCCCAAGAGGCTATAGAAACGACTGAGGTATTCCTATACTAAACCCCCTACTATTTATAGTCGGAGGTGCTACTCGCTATAGTATAATGACTCCTAGGAGTACAATTGTGCTCCTAGGAGAACAATGGTTACTCCATGAAGTGGTGGCTATGCTCCATGGAGAACAATAGCTGCTCCGGCAGAGACCGGGTTTATCTGGTTTTGTCACAGACATGGCCTGAGACTTGGCCATTTCGAGGCAAGGGACAAGTATCGTATCAATGGTGTGATGGTTATAGTCTATTTACAACGAATGTTTTCATCCCAATAACATGGGCCCAATTCGGTGGAATGGAATATTTTTACATTGAACCAGAATCAAATCAGCCCCATCTAATCAATATATGAGTGATGGAGGTTATATGATTCGGAAGTGAGCTGTTAAATCACGTCCTACAGATTTAGCTGATGTTTTTTTTTTGAAAAGTGATTACTATATATACAAAGGGAAAGGGCGGCAGGAAAAATGGAAAGCACAGTGCAGCCACCAGTATTGAATCTGTTGATGCCATCTCTGCCATTTCTTATGTGGCTGCTCAGATTTTCCAATGGCATTTTTGCGAGCAATTCTACTCTATCCCTGATGCCACTGCCTGCCACTTTTCAATGCCACCAATTCTTACTCCTTCCATCAACAGCTTTCCTGACTGTTCTTTCCACTCCACCACGAAAGATTCCAACTGGAATTGAACTACACCAGTGCAATTTGGCCTCATATCAAACTCTTAGGATGGCTGGGGCACAGATCACAGAAGCAAACAAGGGCTTTTGAGATGCTAGTTAGCCAGAAGTGGTTGACAAAGATAATTAGGGTTACACTATACAAATAAATGCTTGCAACAGCTTTTTTTTACATGTTCGAAAGCAATTTTTATGAGATTTTTTTGAACCCAGATTATGCATCCGGACAAATTTCTGGACTTCAAGCAAACCTGCTGAACCCAGAGTCTGGTCCAGACAGATTTACACTTGCAAGGTTTGAAAATTGTCCGGACACCACCAACATTCTGGCAATCTGGGTTCCCTAGGGACTATCCGGGGTCCAGCTGTGGTGCTGTATGACCCAATCGGTTATAACATTACCGGACGCGCTTGTCACGGTGTCATAGGATGGACATAGCGTGACCGCTTTCAACAGCCACTCTTCAGACTAAACTCGTTAATTTCAAGGTTCGATCATGGTAAGCAGCCCTTTGCCTAGAGTATATATCTAGTCGCGCTTTATACTTCACAGGACATGTCCGACGGTGATGCTGTAATGGAGAACAGGGCTTCAGAATCAGAGCAAGAGGCTCGAAGAGGAACCACAGTGGCGGATACAGAAATTAATATTCGCAGTACGTAGATTTCATCTTCCCCATGATATACAGTGTGTGGATCTTATTACTGTCTGCTGAATTATGATCTCCTATATGGTTTTTTTTTGCCTTCCAGCTTCTACTGTTCCATCCCGAGATAGTTTTCGAGATATCCAGGTCAAGGTTCACATTAGGAGGCCCGAAAGAGATTCGTGGGTATATCTAGGTCGAGCACTCGTTTCTCAAGAAGTGATAGGTCAATCGTCTCGTGTTGGTGTGTCTCCTTGAGCTTCCTGTTTTGCGAGATCATGTTCATCGCAGTTTTCTTTCAGTTATTCGGTCTGTAACATCAGGAAAAATCATGGTTGTATTTGGAGAGGTAGATTTACTTTACGGACCTCTACCTCACTTATCACATTTCCTCTCTGCAGATATCCGATCTACAAGCAGAGAAACGTGGGAACTTTGTTGTAGTAGGATGTGTAGAAGGATCTCGTGTTGTATCTTGGTCATTAAATGTTCGTTTGCACACTTGTGCTACTGTGACTTACGTTCTTTCAATAATATTGTCAACGCAGGCTTTAAACAATTCGGAAACGCTTCGTCTGTTAGCCAGTATTGAGCTGGCATGCTACAAATGTAAACAAGCCCTGGTTGATCCGCGAATGCACTCCAAAGCTCGTCGGCGTATCGAACGTGTCATAAAAGAAGATAGAAGGAGAAGACACCGTAGGCGTAAAGACCAAGAAGACATGGTTGACGCCTTTTCGAGACAAAATTTAGAGGAAGCCAGGGAAGTAATCATTTAGTAACGAATTGCCGGCTGGATTCTTACCGACCGACGCTGGAGCATTGGGGAACACTGGAAATTTTGATTTGTGTAATTGCATTCATTTGTACAGGTCTGACTGTTATTCCACTGCAACTCCCTCTAGCTTTTTTATTTTCTTGACTTCATTATTTAATATATTGGTCCTTTTTCCTGTTTAAGACTACTTTTCCCCATATTTCACCTCCCAAGTATCAAGTATCTGATTCAACCGACCTGTATACATGTAGTACCCACACATTCCCCCCTGATAAGAGATGATATAATTGTAATTGAAATGTTACATTTTAAGAAATAACTCGCGATTTTTTTTTGGCTTTGATGTTTTCATTCACAACTGCTGGCGCCTTTGAAGGCAATGTATGTCGCAAAAATCAGTTTGACCATATATAGGCTTTTCGCAGCCTTTTGCACCTTTTCATGCATTTTCGTACTCCGACACTACCAAATATGGCCAGATTGGGTCAAATAAGGAATCCATCAGGCCTGAAAACGTGCAAAAGGCTGCGACATGGTCATATATGCTAAAACCGATTTTTGCGACAATAATGTTGCCTCCCCTAAAGTACCTGACTACTAACTGTAATATCTTCTGTATCACTACATGGCTAATAGCCCTGAAATCTAGTCTCGAGCCAGCCGTTGTGGGAAGGTGTGGAATAAACCACACTGGAGCCACTTCCCAAATGTCTGGAGACATTTGATGGGCAACGAGTGCATTGTGTCACGCTGGGACTTTTTGCCTCCATCATTTGATTATCTTATCTTATCTGTTGGTCCTTGTACATACTTATGCAGTTTCTCCAAGTCGCATTTTGCGATCAATGCTGGATAACGTTAGTGAAGACCAGACATCCGATGACTCCCTCAGCTTCTCAGATGTCAATGAGGATACTGACTACAATCCTTTCATTGTTGATGGTTTGTTTCAGCCAGATTATGATCCACTGGCAGATAGCAACAGCTGGTAGTTCCCTTCATACACATCATCCCCCATTCAACTTGCCAACACTCGCTGTTTAAAGGGAAACCTAACAGGAAATCCCACAGCCAAAGTTTGAGCTATCCTGGACTACATGAATTCAGTAGGCCTTGACTTACCATTATTTTTAGATTTCCTTAGTTAGGGTGATCATGAGTCTGTCATTGACACAAACATTTGGTATGCAAGGATTTCGTTGATAGTCAGTGCTGAGCTTGCAGGGATTTTAAAGTGGTGGCACAAACCCCCACGCACAAAAGGGACTCACAATTCTTGTGCTAATGGAGCACATCTGGTGCTCAAAGAATTTTCATTGTCATGTGTTGCAGATGTACTCAAGGCTGAGCTGGAATCCATCAAGGACATGTGCTATTGTCCCCCAGAGAATGTTTCAGAAGAAGGCCTGACAAGCCTTTAAATTGAAGACATATTGTTGAAACTGTGCAGTCCTGGTTTTGGAGGCACCCCAAAATTCTGGGCCTTGCTTCAGCGACTCAACAAAACAGCTGGACAAATGAAATGAAATACTGTAAAGAATCCTGACTTGGTCCGTAGTACAACATCCAAAGCTATTACTAACACTGAATTCCCAATCACCAAGTCAATATTTCTATTATATTTCAGATCATGTTCTCGTGCTCTCATCATCACAGCCGCTGGCTAAAAATGTTGACAACATTCCTTAAGTCTCAAGGCATCTCTGCAAAAACCCTTGACCACCTACAGACATTCTGCCTGACCATAAGCCATAAATGGTCTATCCGGGCCATCTGTTCCATTTCTAAAAATGAGATGAATGAACTCCGTAAAATAATCCACATATAAATACAATAAATTGCAAAATATATGCTATAATAGCAAAAATATCTGTTATATCTATAAGTGTGATCCTTGCAAAGTCCCCTACTCTAAATGCATGATTATCAATAAATATCAGTTTAGAGTATTTCTATATCATAAAAAGTGGTTTATAGCACAGTCGTTGAAACAAAAATGACCTTGCTCTTTTTCACTATAATTCACTCTAAATGCAATTATATCAATCCATACTCAATCATATCCAAAAAAAAGCACTAATAAAGCAAATTATTTTAATTTTTAAAAATGCTGCAGCAGTAATATTTATAAAAATGATTTTGATGCTTTTGCTGCTTCCTCTAAAGCATCAAAATCAAATATAAGCTCAGAAACATCAGATTGCCCCCTCCCCCCACTGTCATACAACCATTCCTACAAAAATACTTGAGGTTAAGAAAACATTTCAATATAAATATGTAGTAAGCTCTTACCAAACATATTCATCAACCCCACCAACCACAGCCACCAGGTATGTAGGAGAACATTTCTGAAAGTTGTCCAGCAACCTCATATGATGATCCCACCTTGTGAAAGTATAATAAGTACAGATTTATAGTGATTGAGATGATATACTTAGCAGAAAATGCTGTCTCTGAGAATTCTGTTGTGGCATTGTTGATAGCACCTAGCAAAGCACATTCAATCTGGTAAAAAATATTGATTGTTAGTTCTATTTAGAAAAAAGATATGAACGATTACAGAGCATGCTACTAGAGCCAAAGGTGTTTCAGAAGTAGCCTAGAAATTATGAATAGTAATATCAAATAACGCCAACATGAATAAATTTAATAATGTAACTGTTTTAGTTTGAAGGTGGTGATGATGGAGAAGGAGTACTTTTTGCAGCTCTGCCCCTGGCCATCAGATAACTGCATTGTTTAGAATGTATAATCCTAGGTATTGGAGTCCTGAAAACCAAGCCAATGATACAAGTTCAGTATACATGGCAAAGATGAAAGATACAAATGATACAAACAAATACAAATCTAAAATAATAGTTTCAGCAGGTGAAAAATTTGTGCGCACCAATATAGGGTGAATATGACAGTGAAAATATACCAAATCCAATGCACAGAGGCCCTTCTTTACAAGTACTGAGAAAGACCAGCCTATTTGCAGCCCAAATGGTTGAACCCATTTGATTTTTTATTTTGGTTTGGTATAGTATTGAAATGACAATGTGAAAAGGTAAATAAAATTCCCACATTTTGACACTGTGTGCCACAGTGGTGAGCCATAATAGAGGGCGGGAGTGTGCTGCAGCACAGTAGCACTTTCCCACAGTTGACAACACATTTTGCTCAACACTAGGCATTATAGAGAGATCTGACCGC